ACGTGTTGCTTCAAGTAACAGGTAAACAGTTCTAAGTGTCATTGAACCACTATCTGTGTTGCGCGAAGCCATAGCAATAATCACCACCCTGGTGCACCCTCTGGGCACAGAACACACAGCTGTCTCTTGTGCCTGTCCAGTTCCGAGAAAGAGTGTATACCGACGCAACAGGTTCTCTCCCTTCAGACTACAAAACTCCTTCCTGACAGGAGCTCAGAGTGTCCTGATTGTGCGAGAGAGGAGATAATGTCACTGTGCGCCAAAGCACAGCACTCTCGGTAAATCTCCTGTTCGGTTCTGTAAGAGATATGGGGGTCGCAATCAATCAGAAGCCTGAGCTTGTTTTTTTATGTGTCAGTGTGAGGATCTTTTTTTCCCCTCCTGGGTGAAATTTGCAGAGCTCTCGTCAGAATGAGAGAAATGGAGCTGTGTGTCCCGACACAGAGGGAAGGAGATGGGTCTGAAGGTTAAGGGAAGAACGCCTGTCCTCTGTCACAAGCCTCTCCTCCTCCACTCCGCTCCTGTTCCTGTTCTCCAGCACAGTCCTCCAGTGAGGGCTTTCCCCGGTCTGTAGGGGGCGCTATAACAGCTGTCCCTCCCCCCCACTCCCCCAGCTAGATTGCAATGTAGCATCTGTGAATCAGTCTGCCAGTTTAAATACATCTCATTCAAGCACAGCAGAATTGTCCTTTTCCTCTGCTTGAGCTTCTGTGTCAGGAATATAGTCCCACAGAAAGGGGGCATTTATTCTCTAACACAAGCACAGTGGATCTGGCTCCAGAGCAGCGGGTTCCAGGTGCGAATCCTGGCCACAGAGACTGCAGAGATCGGTGAAGGGGAGAACCTTTGATTCTGTTGAAATGGGGGGCTTTTGGTGGTGAACCATCCTCTTATAAGGGGGTCTTTGTCCCAGACAGTGGCTGTGCTGGTTTCAGTCTGATGTTTTCCATGTGCAGCTGTGTATCATACTTCACCTGTGAAACGTCTCTGGTGATGATCTTCACCGGGACTGATTTAAGGTTCCAAACGCAGAACGCTAAGGTTGAGGGAGAGCATCTGATTTCTTCGCAGCTAAAAATAATCCAGGGTGATTTTGCGAGCGTCTTGTACATTTAGTTTGTGTTTTTATTTTTTGTTTTTGCCAGTGAGAGTTTTGTGAGTCAGTGTTACTTGTCTGTGCTGCAAGACTGCATCGTTTCTGACGTTCTTTCGTTGGCGCCTGGCTTTCGCACTCGGGAGAGCCGGCGACCTTGTGGGGGCTTGACGTTGCCAGAGCAGGGGAGGCTGGGATGGTAGTTTACTGGGGCAGGGTCTTGCCCATGTCGGAGGTATTAATATGAACATCTCCTGTTAAACACGGGAAGACTGCATCCTTTATGGCTTCTGCCGCTCGTGATATATGAATGACCACTATGCACGAGCATCTGCGTGAGGCCCTGCGCCAGACGCCGATGTGTTTGTGCCTGCTCCCCTCTGTGCTTGGTGTTGTGTCGCAGCTGTGTGGTTTCGGCTCACAGGCAGCTCGCTTCCAGTGTGGCAGGACCCCACTCCAGACACGTAGAGAAGGATGACCAGCAACCCCAACGTCATACGCACTGAGCATCGCAGCGAGGGCACTGCATTTCGGTCAAGCGCAGGGGAAATGTGGAGCCACACGCACCCTCCTGCCCTCTGATTGATCTCGGGCGATGAGCAGAGGTGGACGTTCTCTTGTCCCATAGCGGATATCCATGAGGCGAAGGGGCTAGGCTGAGCTCCCTGCCGAAACTCAAAATAGCGAAGGGGTACCGCTGTAGTAAGAAGAGGAGCCCACGTTCAGGAAGCACGGCGAGAGTCAAACCACGGCTCAGATGGGGAAGCTACAATATCGTTTTGATTAAGGTAGTGCCATTCAATCCAGGACTCAGACAGAGAAAGTCAGATTAATATTCTGCAGGTTATTTATGGTATTTGGGAGCGACAGGCTGCTGCGTGGATGAGATATTGGAGATATTGATTTAGCATTTCCTGCAAGTCCATCGGCACTGCAGGCAGGGAGTCTGGGGGGGTCAGGCTTTGTGTTGAGAGCAGGGGTCCTACACTCCATCAGAGGCTGTCAGGAGTCGTACAGGCATGTGAGAGAACAGAGGTACCCCTGGGAAGTCACCTTGCAACCTCCAGCTAACTCACTGACTACACGGCAGCCCAGCACACTGACACTGAGCTACTGAACACACAGCAACCCAGCACAGTGACTCTGAGCTACTGAACAC